TCCCTAAAAGTCTCACAACTACAATGAATGTTGACCAATGATTTCTTTTAAAACCAATGGACACTTTTAACTCTCATTTAGGGTCTTTACATACGGATATATAGTTTGTATGCTAACTCTGCACAAATCCAGGGCAAACCTTTCACAAACTAGCTCCCCCTAGAATTGTGCAGTATACAGTCTGCACACTGAAGGCAATGTCTGATCTTTTAGATCTCATTTAACATTTAACATGAATAATCAACACTTTTTTTTCTAGAAAATGTTTGTCCCTTGACTTCCATAATATTGTATCCTAATTTTCAGTTCTATTTTTTCACTCTTTTCTCCTTTGTGAGAGCTTCTCTTTTTGTCTATCCTATAAATGTTCCTATATGATAGGAACTACTTATCTCTCACTCCATTCATACACTGCATGGTAATCTCATCTACTCTCACAGCTTTACCTAAAATTTACATGCTGATGATCCACAGTTTTAGTTCAGATCTCTCTTCTGAATCCCATATCCACATAACCCAGCAGCTTCCTAAAATATTTGAATATTCTACAGGCCATATAAACTTCACATGTCCAAAACCAACAAAACTAACTAAAACTAAGGACGTCACTCCCTAACACAGATTGCACAAATGGAGACCATTTCTGTTATTTTATTTCTACATCTTTAGGGTCTTTATTGTTGTTATTTTGTTTTTGTTTTTTGCCCACATTTCATCTATCTCAGGCCTGAAGGCAAGGTTGAAGCCCCCTTTTCTCCTTGTGGGCACTGTAGATTGTCTGGAAACTCCATTCTAAATTCCCTTTCTCAGGTCTTACTGCATGCCAGTGGCTAGATAACTAAAGCTCAAATGTCCCAGTTTCCCTTACAGTTCAAATTCCATACCAACCTAACTTTGACACATCTGATACATCCGCTCAACATTACAAAAAATTTCCTGTCAATGGTCAGGGCTAAAGAAGTGTGGTCCCGGAGTCAACAGCTATTGATGTTGTTTCCCCAGTTTCCTTATCCTCTATGTTGTTCTGAGAGCCATTTCATGTCTGCATGTGGAATACAGGAGATAAAGCCATGGGCTCCCTTGGGATGGAAAGAACCTACAGAGAAACTTCCTACATAAAGCTGGTTATAACCTCAGTATGAGGGTAAACGAGAAACCTGTTTCTCAGAAGGGCACACAAGGAAACTTACCTATCTCAACTTTGATATTCAGTAGAAGGAGAGGAAAAAACATCTTCCCCTCACGATAGAGATTTTCTTAAACAGTACAACACACAAAGGACAGAACTAATACATTCATAAATTATGAATGTCTGTTCAACAAAGACACCACAAGAATGAAATATAAGTTACATAAACTGGAAAAAATAGTTTCAACACAATAACCAAAAAGAGATTAGTATTTAGAACACAGAATCTCCAAATATCAAAAACAAAACATCCTAATAGAAAAACAGGCAAGAAAAGAAGACATTTTGCAGAAAACACACTTGACCTCTGAGAATGAGATGTTAAATTTTGGTGAAGATATAAATCACAACAATGCTGAACTATTGCTGGTGAGACTGTCATTTGAAAACAGCATTGTCCAGTAAAGTTGAACATGCACATACCCTATGATGCTGGAACTCCATTTAGAGTAATACTCATGCCCATGTGTGCAAAGATATGCATAAGAAAGTTCACAACAGCACTGATTATAAGAGCAAGACAAATAGATGTAAGTCAAATGACTATCAACAAAATGAATTATGAAGTTTGAGATATATTAATATACTGGAATACTATACAGAAGTGGAAATGAACTAAATCTACACTCGACATGGTAATACTGAGTAAAAACAGCAATTTCCAGAATAATCATAGTGTAATTTCATTTACAGAAAATTCAGAAACAAAACACTTATTACATATATGGCTTATTTTTAACTGTATACTTTAATAGGTGATAAATTTAGCAACCTTTCAGCACAGTACTGATAAAATTACTTTGGGGTTCTAATAATTTGTTCTGTGGTTTCCTTTAAAGGATCCTTTCATGTTCATTTTTAATATTTTGATAATGTATACAGATTTATAAAATATAAAATATGTTTAAAGGGAACTTAAAGAAAATGCCAATATGCCCACTACCAAGATTAAGAAATTTAACATTAACATTACTTTAGAAGCCCCCCTCAGAGTCACTGCTTATACTACTCCTTCTGCTAAGACTTAACCATGATATTGAATTATTTCTTCATTTTAAAATAATCTGTGTGTATTTTATATAATATAGTATATAATTTTTACATATTTTTAAATTACATATGCAATTTTATATAAATGAATATTTTTATTTTATAAGGTATTTTCCATGGTTTACATATTTTATTATGTTTATACATTTTATTTTACATATAAATCTACAGAGACAGAAATAAGATTGGTAAGCTGCCTGGGGATGGGAGCAGGACAAAGAGGCCTGAGGAAACTTTATGGGGTAATGAAAATAGCTCAAAATTGTAATATAGTGGTGGTTGCACAACTAAAAATCATTAAGTTGTTATCTAACAATGGGTGAATTTTATGGTCTACAAAGTATACTTTAAAATCTGTAAGAAACAAACATATATATGTTCACATATTACCTTTTCTGCGAAGTCTTCTGTGACCAGCCCAGGCAGAATTTTGTTTGCATTCCTCTTTTAGAGTACTCCTCAAATCAGGCTATACTGGTTGGCCTATTTTCAACAAGACTTTAGAGATCCTAAGGACCAGAGTATATTTTTTCAACTCTGTACCACTCTTCCACTATCAATTCCAATACATCCTACAGCAGTGCTTGAACTGTTCTTGCTCATTAAGTATGTTTTAATGAATGAATAAGTGGGAGTTCTCCAGCTAAATAAAAGGATCAGCCACTCTAGTGAGAAGTGACATTGTATGCTATCCTGAAGGAAGAGCAAACGCAGCAAAGAGAGTGTGGAGGTTATGAGCACAGGCTCTGGAGCCTCACTGCCCAGTCCAATTGCAGCTGCACTTCTTAGTAGCAGTGTGAACCTGGGCAAATTACCTAATCTTCTGTGCCTCAGTTTCCTTATCTAGCAAATGGAGATGATAGGTTATCTTCCTCAAAGAGTTACTGTAAGGAATGAAAAATATTTAAAAAGCATTTAAAACAGTTCATAACCAGCAAGTACATAAAAAAGTACTCTACATCATTAGTCACCAAGGAAATGAAAATTAAAGCTATAATGATATATACCACTATACATCTATCAGAATGGCTAAAATTATAAAGACAGAAAATATTAAGTATTGGCAAAGATGTAACTGGAATTCTCATCCGTTGCCACCAGAAGTGAACATAAACTTTGAAAACCTACTAATAATTTCTTAAGAAATTAAACTATATCTACCCCCATGACCCCAAAAATCTATTCCTATGCATATATTAAAAAGAAACAATAAAACATGATCACAAAAATTATAAAAATTTTGATAGCAGTTTTATTCATAACTTAAAACCGGAATGAATGCCAATATCCTTGGGCAGAAAAAAATTGATAAACTGTGGTATATTCATAAGTGGCACACGGCTCAGGAGAAAAAAGGAACACACTACTGACACATGCAAAACATAAATCTCTAAAACACTACGCTGACAAAAATAAGTCAGGCACAAAAGAGTGCATGCTGTATTATTCCATTTGAAGGAATGTAAAGAACAAGCAAACCTAGACTATGGTGAAAGACGTCAGTGAGGAGACCACTGCCTGCAGAAGGGCAGGACAAAAATTCCTCAGGTGATGCAAATGCATATCTTGATCTGATTCATGGCAGGGCTGATAAAACTTATCAAGCTGTGCATTTAATTTTTGTATTATATATAAGTTATATCCACCAAAATACTCTTAGCATAAAAAGTTTTGTATTTTTTCCCAATTAAAATGTTATTTCAAGTCATTAAAAAGTATTTGGTTCGAGACCAGCCTGACCAACATGGTGAAACCCCATCTCTACTAAAAAATACAAAAATTAGTCAGGCATGGTGGCAGGAGCCTATAATCCCAGCTACTTGGGAGGCTGAGGCAGGAGAATCACTTGAACCTGGGAGGTGGAGGTTGCAGTGAGCAAAGATCGCGCCATTGCACTCCAGCCTGGGCGACAGAGCAAGACTCCATCTCAAAAAAATAAGTATTTGGCATGTAGTAAGTATCCAATCAAAGTTATCTACTATTATCAGTTTAGACTGGCTAATTTGTTAAAGTAGAAGGGAAACCATCATTAACAAATATAACTGAGGTAAAACAACGAAACAAACAAAAACCAAAAGCTGAGTATGTCTCTCAAAAAAGCAGAAGAAAACAATGACAGGTGATTACAGTCACTCTCTCTGTTAAATTCAGAATTCCCTCCAAACTCCATTAATTAATTACTTTCTAGTTCATGCCTCTTTGATACTACTCTTAGAGAAGTGAAGGAATTTTTATTTTTGTTGTTTAAAAACACTCATTTTTTACCAGGATGAACAAACATACACTTGAATATTATTCAGGTTTTCCTATGGGTTACTTTTATATTATACATGAACTTTCTCTTCTAGGCCCATAGTGAATACAAAAAAAAAAAAAAAAAACCTATACAACAAGTTTCCAATTCTTACTAGGAATCTGAATTTAGTTGTGCAGTGATTACTGAGGCTCACTCATAGTGGTAATAAAAAACATTGACTATTATCTTCAGCTTATGCCTATAACATTGCACTTAAAACACTGATGTCATATTAACATTAGTAATTAAAGGCAAAATTAATTTTAACTGTGGAAGGGGGATGCTTTTTGAATACCACTTTAGAATGTTTTCAGTGGGTCAGGTGAAATAAGGTAAGAGTCAAAGAGTCATGACAAAGAACTATAAATATTCTTAATAAGGTAGAGAAGAATAAGTATGCATGTGTGTGGATAAGCCACAGCACTCCTCTACCAGGAAACAAAGACTGAAGTTACCAATACTCACCTTAATCACTTGATTCTCAAGATACTCCATAAAACAACCAGAGCTTGCTATACATTTTCTACATTTCCAACAACGAAGAATACTTGTTTCCTCTTGACTATGATTTTTAGTTATCAATTCTTTGCTTCTTTTCATCTGTGGAAACAATAATGCATTTTTAGACTGTTAAACTGTCAGATAAACTGGACTCTCTAAATCCTTAGCACAGCATTAGCTACAAGTGGAGCATAAAGCAGTGAACTATCATTTATTAAGGTACCTACTAGTTATCAGGTCTTAGGTTTGGGGTACTCTATACATTACATCTGAGATTGAAAATTCCAATTAATTATGATGATACATTATGTTAGTGACTTACCAGGTTATTTTCTTTGTGCAAAAAGTTTTATATCTACTGCTTTTCACTTGACTCTCACTAAAAGTGGTAAATACAATCTGTAGAGTCAATTCAATAAGTTACTGCAGGAGTTTTTTTGTTTGTTTGTTTTTAGACAGGGTCTCACTCTTGTAACCCAGGCTGTGGTACCATGGCACAATCATAGCTCACTATAGACTCGAACTCCTGGGCTCAAGCAATCCTCTTGCCTCAGTCTCCTGAGTACCAGGGACTACAGGAGTGCACCACCATGCTTGGCTAATTTTTTTTTTTTTTTTTTTTTTTACTTTCTGTAGAGACAGGGTCTTGCTTGGTAGCACAGGCTGGTATCAAATTCCTGGCTTTCCAAGCAATCCCCCTGCCTCAGCCTCCTAAAGTCCTGAGATTACAGGCGTGAACCACTGCATCTGGCCTATAGCGGTTTTAAAAAGTCATGAGAAAGAACTAAATATTCTTATAAGCAGGATGTTTTGAATAGTCATACCATTAAATTTTAAAAATAAGATTTACCGTGTTGTTAATTCTGTGAAAGTTGGAAGTGTCTACTTTAAATTGATAGCAAAAATCCTTTATCCTGAAAGCAACAGTCTCCATTATATTGTACTTATTGGTACAGTTAACTATATACTACCTCTGGTATATAATCAAGCAAGACTCAGAGAACAGCCCCACCAATTTTGCAATCTATTTTTGCACCTGAGATTTTATGTCACTACTTTGATTTAAACCAATCTGGGATAATAGTTTCAAACTAATATCTAACAATTCCAAAATAGGTACAGGGTGTTAAATAACTTGTCTGGTAATTATCCATTATAAAGAAAGGCAATATTAATTTATCAGGCTACCCACATGGGCCTGCCTAGTTCCCTGGCCACATTTCATTTGTTCATTCATTTCTCATTCATCCAACACTTACTGAAAGCTACCTATGTGCCAGACAATGAGTCAAACTCTGGGAACACGAAAATGAGTAAAACTTACTTTCTGTCTCAGAGGTGCTCACTATGCTACAGATCAGCAGTTTTTCAACTGTAGCACACAGAATCGCTTGGGAAGCTTTAAAAAAACAGTGATGCCTAGGTCCCACTCCTAGAAATTTTTACTGATTGTGAGATGGGGATGGAGGTAGAAATGGACATTTAAAAAAAAAAAAATCCCCAAGGGAATCTATAGTATGGTCAGGGTGAACACAGAGACGTGTATACAATTAACAATGAAGTAAAATGCAACTATAAGAGAGGGAACATGGACAGACAGTAATCAACTTTAAAGGTAGGACTTAAAGAACTCTGGCTGAGAGGGCAAAGCAAGCCCCTCTAGTTCAGACCTTCAAGTAGATAAGCTGCAGTTTTGTCTCTACTGACCCATCTTCAGAATGCATCTTAGCCCAGTTGACCACTCCATTTTAACTGCAACCTCAATGATCACCAAAAATCATTTAATTTGGCCAGGCATGGTGGCTCACGCCCGTAATCCCAGCACTTTGGGAGACCGAGGTAGGTGGATCATCTGAGGTCAGGAGTTCGAGACCAGCCTGGCCAACATGGTGAAACTCTGTCTCTACTAAAAATACAAAAAATTAGCCGTGTGTGGTGGCACACGCCTTGTAGTCCCAGCTACTCGGGAGGCTGAGGCAGGAGAATTGCTTGAACCCAGGAGACAGAGGTTGCAGTGAGCCGAGATCGTGCCACTGCACTCCAGCCTGGGCAACAAGAGTGAAACTCAAAAAAAAAAAAAAAAAAAAAAAAAATTTGCTTAATTTGCAAATGTCCTGCCCTCCTCTTTCTTCATTGTTGAAGCACTAACACACTTAACTTCTTTAGTATTCTTCTTTCCTCTCTATATCCTTCTTAGCCTCTTTTATCTTCATCTCCCTTTTAACCAGTGGTCCACAGCCAGGATAGCGACTGTAGGGAGGAGTCATATCAAAATCAAGTATGGAGAAACTCCACATCTGCCTGTGCCCTCCAACCCTGAGATACCTGCCCTCTTCTCCCTGAAATTTTTCCATGCCTTCTTGGGGTACAATTATGTAGTAGAAAAAAAGCCTGTAGGAGATTACTGTAAGTCTTCATTTAAACACTGAAAACTATACTCACTCTGTACGATAATTCTTCTATATCAATGATTTTTACATCCATAGATCTGTTTTGGTCTTGTTCCAAAGCTCTAATCCAGTATTTTCAATTTCCAAATGCCAATGCACATCTCTCTACAAATCTCCTTCAGGGCCTTTGTACTGGCTGTTCACTCTTCATAGATCTGAGCTATTCTACACAGTAGCTACTAGTCAGACATGCTTATTGAGTGCTTGAAATGTGACTTATCTAAATTGAGATGTCCAGATTTTGAAGTGTTGGTAGAAAAAAAGAACGTAAAATATCTCAATATTTTTAAGTACATGTTGAAATAATACTTCTAATATACCAAGTTAAGGAAAATGTATTATAAAATTAATTTAACTTGCTTCTTTGTACTTGTTTGTGTGGTTTTATAGATAAGGTTTGCATTGTATTTCTACTGGATAACATTTGTCTAGACCTCCTCACCTCTCCTGGGTCTCTGCATGGTTGGCTCCTTTCTCATCATTTAGATCTCGGTTCAATGTCATCTCCTCAAATATACAGAATAAGGAACCCCTTGAATTTACTTAAATACAAGTCAGTGGGCCACAATCTACGAGATTCTAATTCAGGGTTTCTAGGATATAAATCTTCGCATAAAGTTCAAATTTATCACTTATAACACTGCCAAATATCCATGTCTGAATACACAGTTTGCCAATCATTCAAGTAAAACATAATGTGCCATGAAAAGGTACCTAGTTCAACTCTCAACCAAAACAACTGAACATGGGTTTTTCCTCAAGACCATCATCGGCCATCAGTAGACTGCAGAAGTGCTCTATGGGTTCTTCTCATTTTTTCCCACAAAGAACATTTAAAAGATGTACTTAAAAGTAAAGATTTAATAAAATATTATTTACTGCTTCAATAAACAGGTTTTTTGCATCTGTATGGTGGTAAAGAATAAAATGACTTCTAGTACAGATTGTCACCATTGCCTTGATTTTGCTAAGGGACCCGCAGTTTTACTCACTATTGCTTTTGTATTATTTGTGCAAATGTCAACACAGTGAAAAAGGCAAACGACATCTTAATATTACCAAGAAAACAGTTTTGACCAGATTCTTTGACAAGGTCTCACAGACACCAGGGGCATGAACCACATTTAGAAAAATGCTCCTTTATGCAAAACAGCTGTCTCAAAAATGTTGTTTTTGAAAATCTTACTTCTCAATAACATTCTTCAAAATATTTAGGAATGATAGATGAGTCCCTATGGAGAAACATATTTATAACAGATTAAGTTGAAATTTTTTATAATACAAAGCACTGGAATTATAATCTCCATAACAAAGTTGCATTTATTTGTCTATCCTTTCCTATTTGCTACACTTTATGGTAAAATACCAGCATTTGGCACAGTAATAATTCCACATTCCTGGGTCTTTAGTCTTTGCTGACCTTTTTATTTGTTATTCGTAAATTTAAACTTGAGGAGGACAAAATTATAAATTAAAATTAACCTAAAGTTAGAAAATACGAATAAAACAAAACAATTTTTAATATTGAAACAGAACTCAGACATCTTCTCCAAAGCAAGTTGGAAGGGGGATATAAGCATAAAGGCTGTAACTGCCAAATTTTACCAATCTTTTATGAAATAATCTTTATAACCTATAAACTGTAGTCCAGAAACAGAAAAGAAAAAACAGATCCTCCAAATAATTCTATAAGAGTAATATAACTTTGACATATTAATTAGACAAGGAAATATAAAACTAGACAAGGTGAGTATGAGAAAAAAATAAACCAATCTATTTACAAACATAGATGCTAAAATTCTAAATAAAATATTAGCCAACAGAATCCATCAATGAATTAAATAAATAATACATTTTGACCAAGTAAGATTACTTTCAGGAATTCAAGAATGGTCAAAATTGGGTGAAAAACTATTCAATATACTGAAATGGAAGATTAAAAGAAAAACATGCTCACCTTAAAAACTGCAAAAAATAAAACTCTTGGTGAAATTCAACATTTAGTCAGAAATGAAAAACAAAACCAAAAACCACCACCCTAGCAACAGAAGGAAATTTCCTTAACCTGAGAGAAAGGGAATTTATCAAAAACATTAGCAATTATATATTACTTGATGGTGAAACTTTAAAATCATTCCATTAAAATCAGGGAGAATACAATGATGCTCACTATTTTTCCTATTATCCAAATTTGTAGCACAACTCCTAGCTAATGCTAGTAAATAAGAGATATAGCATCAGAAAGCGTTAAACAGTGAGGGGAAAAAAAAAACAAAAAAACAAAAGACAAACTAAGTTCCTGTTAATATATGACTTCATTTTTTGGTTTTTAGGTTACAGGTGTTTCCATCTTGTTAGAAATACAGCAGGCCCTTGAATAACATTGTTTTATTCAATATCACCTAGTTATAAAATTGATGAGGAAAGGAAAGTCAATTTCCATTGTAACATTATGAGAAAAATAATCAACTCCTGACCAGAGCCACTGTCTGTGTGGAGTTTGCATACTCTCCCCATATCTGTGCAGGTTTTCTGTGGGCACTGCAGTTTCCTCCCATGTCCCAAAGATGTACATACTAGATTAACTGGCATGTCTTAATTGTGCCAATCTGAGACAGTGTGAGTGCATCCTGTGATGGAATGGTGCCC